TGTTTGCAGAATGACTTATTGGAAAAATTCAAGTAATTGGAAAAAGAAAAAACGTACCACTTCAAAATTTTGTTTCTCCACAAACAAAGCCTACTTTTTATTTTATTTTATGCATTAAAAATACTGATTCCTTTATAAGACTAATACCATTGGTGACCAAAACTTTGGTTGGCAAAAATATATAATAGAAAAGAAAAGAAAAATTCGTGTACAACAAACAACCGGATTTATCCACCGACAGACTACTTGTGCAAAACTTTCTGCACGTGTCTTCTTTTATTTTATCGAAACCATATATAATTTATTTTGTTACAAAATATAATGTATTACTACTAAAAATATAAACACAAAGCTCTAAAATACAAAACCAATATATATATATATATATATATATATATATATATATATATATATATATATATATATATATATATATATATATATATATATATATATATATATTATTGTTTTAAATTTTATAACTTTAAGTAAATGATAATGATAAATCATAGGTTTTCTTTGAAATAAAATAAGTTATTATGTTTCTCATAATCTAAAAAATAATGAATATTAAATTTAAATTACGGAAAGTAAATGAAAGATTATGTTGATTTGGGTTGGTAATGAGAGCAAAAGTTCGATTTTGGTTGAGTTGTTTGGATGAAAGAAAAAGTAATTAGTTTTTTAATAAAGAGTCGGATATATTTGGTTATGAATGAAGATAGTCTAAGAAGTAATTTAATAATCAGACTGCCGGTAACATTAATTTGACAACGAATCCTGTACATGGGGAAAATCTTGTTCATGAAGTCGAATTGATGCTCACGGAAGATCAGGTGGGTTATTGAGCATTTGGAATAAATACTTATTTAGCTGGTGTTTGTTTTCCTACAAAAGCTTTACTTGACCTCTTATGTATGCGTCACGCAGACAACATGCAGACGTTTGGTTTTGCATATTGTTTGTTTTTTAGAAGACCACAGATCTAAAAAGGTTTGTGCGTCCTCTTTTTGGCGCAGATATGAACCTATGTCATCTAACATCTTCTAGCCTTGTCTTACCTCTTCCACAATGTATATTTAACTTTTATAAAACTGTAACACCCCGGCTCTCAGGTATAAACTTTACAGCATTATATTCATTTCGAAAGGTCTACTCGACGAGTTGGATGCCTTGACTCGTCGAGTAGGAACGAACTTGGCCGCATGTCTTAAGTGACCAACTCGACGAGTTGAAGGACATAACTTGACGAGTTGGAGCTAGAGGATGAAACCCTGATTTCCAAGGTTTTTCACCCTATTTAAAGGGTCATTAGCCTCCCTTACACCCTCCAACTCAGAAACCCTAAATCGTATTTACTCTCCATATTTGTGTGTTATTAAGCTTGGAAGGTGGAATTTGGTGGGAAGAGCTTCAAGCCCAATGAGCTTGGAGCAAGGAGAAATCGTGGATCCGAAGTCTACTCCATCTTAGCATCACTTTGAAGGTAACAAGTCGTTACCTTGGCTCTCCCTTAGCTAGATCTCTTCATGCATATGGGTTTAGAACCCTTTCTAATGTATTGTTATAGTATATCCGGATTTGGGGCAAGATATGAGGTTGCAACTACAGATCTGGACTCCTTTAGCCCCTTATTGTCACAAAGTTCTAGTCTTTGTAAAGCTATGGCCTTCCTCTTGCCTTAAATTTCTTCTTTAGCCTAGTTTTGACTCTTAAGGCCTTGCATGCACTTAAAGTTTGCAACTTTACATTGTAACTAGGAACTAGGAGGCTAGATTTACCAATTAAAGCTTTGGAATAACTTAAAATCATCTGGACAAGAAAGGGACTCCATGAACTCAATGAGTCGGATAAGCCAACTCGACGAGTTTGGAAGGGTTTTCCTGTTGTTTAGCTTCTGCATGGACTCGGCGAGTCGGTAAGAGGAGTCAACGAGTCAGTTAGGGTTTTCACAACTTCTCGAGTTCTGGAAGGACTCGACGAGTCAGTGAGCTGCACTCGGCGAGTTGCGTCAACATCAACTGTTGACCTTGACTGGTGACTTTGGCTATGACCAAGGCTTGCCTAAGTTTATGGGGGGCATTTTGGTAATTTGGGAATTTATGGAAAAGGATCATCAGTGGGTGTAGGTGTTGGGCTTGGAGCTGTATTTGGTGGAGTTTGACTTTATCACTTCGAGCTACTTGTGAGGTGAGTTGTCCTCACTATACTAATAAGGTCGAAGGCACCAATGTTGACTCTTTTCATATTTGTATATGGCTTTATTGTATGTTATGCTTTATGATATGTATCTTGGTTATAGGATGGTTTTTAAGTTAGAGATCGGTTAAATTAATACCCTAGTTATAGGATGTTTGCTACGCTAGTGATCGGTAAGATCGGTATTCTGGTTATAGGATGGTTGCTATGTTAAAGTGTCACACCCTCGAACCAGACGGCGGAAACGTTTGAGGGCTCGTGTGACTATCAATTGACATATCATCACAAGGAATATAAATGAAACATAACATAAACATCACCATGCATTACATAATACAACCGTCATTGTTCAAATCAAGTACATTGTTTAATGTTACATATTTCAAAACATAAATTGCATGACAGTCAACATTACACAAAAGAGGTTTCCAAAACACACTTGGTGATTCTTCCGCTTAACGGCTACCTGAGAATACAAATTATTTTGAAAATGGTCAACATATATAATGTTGGTGAGTTCATAAGCATGTTTGATTGAAATTTTTGTAATGTTTGTATAACCTAGAAAATACGACATTTTCTGTAAATTGTATGAAAATGATGTAATCACCGAGTATAAATGTATGTGTGATTTTTATTATAAAAACATGTATGAGTAAGCAATTCAAAAATTTCCTTGTATTGTATCTGTTGTAAGTAAAAGGTAATGAATAATAGTATTTCCCCAGAAAATCCGATATTTTCTCATTTATAAAAGTGTCGTAGTCATTGTATTATTGTATGAATTGTTTTTGTATTATTATGATTTGAGCACTTTGATTCCCGTATTGTATCGATGGTAATGGATCTCTATGTGAGTCATTATAACCATGCATGATAATGACTAATTCGCATGTCTTGGCATTTTTCCAAATGCCTGTTTTGATCAAGGTTTTTTCACCCTAGACTAGCCAAGTCTAACTGTAGCGAATAGCTCAGGTGTGGGGGAGTCACCCCCGTGTAGATCTATACACAAACCCTCGCTTTCCCTTCAGGGGACTCTGATTATAACTACAAGCTACGACCATACACTTAATGGTGCCAACCGAAAAATCTCACTAGATCCCAATGATTGCCACATGAATATGTTTAATGTTAGATGTATTTTGATTTACAGACACTAGATGATACTTGAATGTGAAAAGACACAGCCCAATGAACATGAAAAAAAGGTACAGTTGTGGCTCAGTAGACATGTAAGTTATTTCAAGGATTTTTAGGTATGCAAAAAAGACACTTAAGGCCCACTAAGAATATGATGAATAGTTCAAGCCCAATTATTATGTAAATGGACCACTAAGACCCAATAAACATATAAAGGATAATTTAGGCTCGTTAGGCATGTAATTGGATCACATAATATCAGGACTCCTAATATTTACTGGCATAAAATCTATTTGAAATGAATGGTTGTTTAGTGTTAAGGTGCACCTTACATAAATACCTTTGGTTGATTCAGTTTTTCCCATTAGCTATCTCCACCGTGAAGGCGCCATTTAGCTTCTAGGGTTGTTGTTTTAGTAAGTGTTTGAATATGTTACTAACGAAGCTTCACTCAATTCCACTATCGAATGGGATGCATGCGTTTATGTTGTTAAGTAGGAACATATCGATAACAAACTTCAGGTCTTGAATTGTCTCTCGTTGACCCAAAGTCAAGACTCTTCCTGATCCTTTTGCCCCCTGGTTGTTGGCTTTAGGGAAGTTGCATTTGAAATGACCAGTTTTTCCACATCGGTAACAAGTGTGACTAACCACAACGTTATTGTTGTTGCTTAGCTATTGGTTTTGTTGGGGATGCGTCCTACAGTATTTTGCGGTATGACTATTTCGGTTGCAACGAATGAAATGCCTCTCCCTGCATTTTCCATGATGATGGAAATTGCATTTGATGCATTTTGGAAGACTTCCAGCAAACAGTCTTGCTGATGTGGGTGTAGTAGGTGTCATGGTTGCATAGACATCAACGACATGTCATTTCTTCGAGGACCATTGAATTGACTACCCCTTTTTCTTATTTTCTAACTCTCGCTTTCTACTTTGAGGTTTAGGATTGGGAGTGCCTTGACAAGTTATCACTTGTTGGTAGTTACTTTAGCCGGAGTTATCGATGCTATTTCCCCCTTTTTTGATGTTGCTTGCGTTGAGTTGTGCCATCATGGTAGCGGTTACGATAGTTGTTACCATAGCTTGGAATGTAGTAGAGTCTATCTGTAGGATTGGTGTTTCCCAGGCATGCTTGTTAGCTCTGTGGAATGACATCCTCTTGCTGCATGATGATAAGTAGGATCGTAAGTAATAATGGTCATTTTCGGTGGTACTCATTAACCTTGGCGTTTCGTTGTGATTCATTATGTTTCAATCTACATCCCTAGGATGTATTTATGATAGTAGGTAATCATAGATTTGGCATGAATTTTAAGTTTTATTCATAGAGTTCATAGATTATTTTGGTTTTGAGGTTCCTGAGTATCTAGCGGTTTTGATGGTTGGTTTGTGCACATAAGCGTAATCCCATATTAAAACACATAGCATTTCTACTAGAAATAGTCATTTTAGTATAGGAAAATTTTCCTGAAAGGCATATAATACATAGGAAAAATGTATGATCCGACAACATTATGACATAAGGTCAATAGTACATAGGGTAGTACGTATAGAAGAAACACAATACTAGTAGGAGATACGACTGGTTCTACATATGTGATACATACAATAACAAGTAGTAGAGCAAGTACCATCAGTAGTGATGACGATGACACTCAATCATCGAGCTGACGTATCAGAAGTTCAGGCAGTTCATTCACCTCTTGGGTGATTACCTCTTCCCTTTGATCGGATCGTACAGCCCTAGCTTTGGCTGTGAAGAGTTGACACTTGAGATTGGTTATTTCTTTCGCAAGAGAGTGTATATGGTCTGTATCACTCTTCTGAACCGTGTGTGGTTCTGATGGGGCTTCCGGTAGGTGGGGTTCACTGTGTGTCTCCTTGACGTCCTTTCCTTCATCTAACTCCTGCTCAAATTCGCCATATTCGTAATCAGTTACCACATACTCTTCCGATTCTTCCATCCGCCCATTATTTCCCTGGTTGGGGAAATAAGGATCTCCAGGGTGATGAAATTCGGCCATGACGTCTGCAGGAAAATGATGAATGCTAAATCACACCTGGATTATTCCTATGGTAATTTAATTATTTATGTTTGGTTTTATAAACTCCTCTCTGGGTATTCTAAAAGGGTAAGTTTTTGTTTCATTATCCATCATAATCAATCCCGAGCACATGTCAATCATACTTTGGATGAATGTAGTTGATTAGACTACATTCACCCCCCAATACGATTACATAACTGTCCGGACATAATTGAAATGTTCAAATCCTCCAAAAACTTTTATTAAGTATTATTATGTTGTTATCCTAATATGTGCACATAAGTATGAAAATTTTATTTTGTTTAGAGTTATTTAGTCCCGTTGTGTTTATACTTGCATATCATGTATGGTTAGATATGCTAGTTCACTATAAACAACGCTCTGATACCAACCTGTCACACCCTCGAACTAGAATGCGGAAACATCTGAGCGCTCGTGTGACTATCAATTGAAATATCATCACAATGTATATACATGAAACATAACATAAACATCACCTTTCTATACATGGTTACACCAAACATAACATTTTTGGTACTAAAAAATTCCGTTTTAACTCTTAACTTATAAAAGTTTATATCTTTGGTGTAAATGTTTATTATTTGACAAATTTGGTCCAAAATACATAATAGATAATTTCAGCCCCTTGCTCACATAAAATTTCATTTTCAACTTGAATAAAATGACATTTTGGACTTTTTTGGTGAATAATAATATTTTTAGCCCATTAAATCATTACACTTAGCATTTTTGGCCCAATTGTAAATTAAATTACAATTTCAGCCCAAAATACAATTATTGACATTTCCAGCCCTTATTTGGTAAAAGTTAACATTTTTGACCCATTTTCGTAATTTTTACATTTTTGGCCCAAAATTCAAAAACTTTACATTTTTAGCCCAATTTAGAAATAAGTAGCATTTTAACCCTTGTTTTGGTTTATTTACGTTTTTGGCTCCAGATTTTGATCAAATAACATTTTTAATCCCCAAAATTCACATTTTTCGCAATTTGGGCCCAAAAATCGTAAGGCCCAAAAAATGTGATTTTCGGTTCTAACTAGCTCCTTGAGTAGATCTTGAGCCTTAAGATGCTCTAATAACCTTATTTATGAAAACAAGAGTGTAAGAGGAGTAAAGGTGTTTAAATATGAAGTAACACACTTAAATTTGCAAGCCTTACCATAATGGGTGAGTTTTTGATGAAGTAATCCTCTTGGAAAAACCTTAAGGTTTCAAAATTTAGAAGATAGTGAAGATGTTCTTGAGATATTAGAGAGAGTTTGAAAGGAATTTTTTGAATATGTGTGTGTGTTGTTGTTTTTATCCGCCGAGAGAGATAAAGAGAGGGAGAGGGGATGTGATGGCTACATAGATGCATGAGATTTATGGATTACTTAAAGGTTAATTTGCAAGGAATACCACAATGCAAATGTGATGTGTTAATTGCAAGTTAATCCTTGTCTTTATTTTTATTTTACACTTATATATATATGTGTGTGTGTGTGTGTGTGTGTGTGCACATTGGGCTGAGATTTTTGGGTGAAAAGGGATAAGAATGAGATAGTTTGGGCCCATTCTAGGCTTGGTTCGAATTCATGGAGCCCAACAATGGTTTTCGACCCATTAGGCCCTTGTGAACATTCATGGCCCAAATATGATATAAAAGAAATGGGTTTATGGCCTATTGGGGCTAATTAATTCATTTGTGGCCCAACAAGGCCCAATAGAGGTAAACCAATCCATTTGAGGCCCATTATGGAATAAGGTTAAGTTTTATGGATGTGGGTCCAATTAGAACAAAATTAGGGTATTTAGGCCTAAAATAGTCCAACTGAATGCTTATTGGTCCATTAGGACCAATAAGAAAATCCTAGTCCATCATAAACTTGAATCGGGATTCTTAGGGTTTTCAACCCTTAGTTGGCTATTTAAAACGTTTTGTATAGAGTTTTGAACTTTTACTGGATGAACCTTGATTGAATTTGTTGTCATTAATTTAGCATAATTTTTGATATTAGTAAGAATTACATGTATCACAACTGATGATGCTTACACTAGTACATAATTTCCTAGCTAAAATTTCTTGTTGTGACATAAAGATCAGTTAGATCAATATCTTTGTTATAGGATGGTTTCTATCTAAGCGATCGGTTAGATCGGTATCCTAGTTATAGGATGGTTGCCATGATTAGTGATCTGTTGGATTTGTATGACTATTTATTTATATGTATGTGCAAATATTTGTTGGTTCTGGGGATTGGGTTGAGGTAGGTCCTGCTTTGTGTTGTATGTCACACCCCCGAACCAGACGACGGAAATGTCTGGGGGCTTGCGCTTGACTTCATCTTGAAATATCATTACAGTGAATATAATTGAAACATAACATCATCATCATCACACATGTAATATTACAACATTCATTGTTTACATCGAGTATTGTATTTGAATATTACATGCCAAAATAGTAAGAGTATGATGAAACAAAATATCACACAATATCCATTAGTTTGTTTCAGTCATCCTGCTTCAAAGGTATCCTGAGAATACAAGTTATTTTGAAAACGGTCAACATAAAAATGTTGGTGAGTTCATAAGCATGTTTGTGAAAATGATTTGTATAACTTTTAAAACCACCAGAAAATCCGATATTTTCTTAAAACTGTTTAGTGTGTTTATGTTAGATCTTGTATTAATGTATGTATGCTATTGTTTATTTGACTAAAAAGGTAAAGAGAATGTAAGAGCATGTAAAGAGAATGTTCGCAGACAACCCGACGTTGCCTAAAAAAAGAAGATGTCTTCTGTAAACTTCATAACGTTAATTCCTCTAAGCGAGCTATCATAACCATACTAAATAATGACAATTTCACCTGTCTTGGCGTCGTTGGACGCCGACGGAAAATAGAATAAGGTTTTCGTCACCCTAGACTGAGTAAGTCTAACTGTAGCGAACAGCTGAGGTGTGGGGTGTCAACCCTGTATATATCTATATACAAATCCCCGTTCTCCCTCCAGGAGATTTTGGTTATAACTACAGGCTACGATCGTACACTTAATAGGTGCCAACCGATAAAAACTCGCTAGATCCTTAATCGAATTTACGCGAAGAAAAATGTATAAACTCATTCTAGGACCAATGATCAATGTAAGAGAACCACTAAGGCGTCACTAAACATGTAAATCATTTCAAGACCCAAATGGAATGAGATTATATAGCATGGGCCCGAAATATATATGAAAGGAAAACTAAGGCCCATTTCACATATAATGTATTTACAGGCCTAAATAGCACACAAATAGTATCCAAGGTCCGTCGCACATGTTAATGGGTCAATGAGGCCCAATAAACATGTAAATAATATACAGGACCAATCACACATAGAAATGGGTCACTAAGGCCCAATAACCTAGATAATGATCAAATTAAATCCATTTGTTAGTTTATCATTGGTTTTACTTCAAGTATTCACTAAAATAGCATAAAAAGAAGAACGCATATAAAACTCATTCCCAGGCCCAATAAACATGTAAGTGGACAACTAAGGCTCACTATACGTGTCTATTATTTCCAGGGCCAATAAGGATATGAATATTGTTTTTAACCCGTTTGTTATTGTTTTGTTTATTTTAGCTTGATTATTTACAAAGTCGATATAAAAAGCCCTCCTTTTTGTAAAAATGACGTTCTTGGCCCAATAAGCCAAAAATTTACAATTAAGACCCAGTTTTTGTAAGAATAACACTTTAATGTCCAATTTTGTTAAAAACTTGTGTTGATGACTACTTTGTGATAAAAATAGCATTTTAAACCCATTTTTGGCTTGGTTTTGTGAAAATACATATTTTTCTGGTTTTTGGCTTTTCCGAACTAGTTTTTAGAAAATTTGTAGAAAATTCATCGTAAGTCGAAATCTGGATCCGTAAATTTTGGAAGTTTGGAAATTTTGTCTACTTTGTTTAAAAATTTTCTCATAATTTTTTATGGCTTCAAACTAGTGTGAAATTACTCATCTTCACAGATTGGTCCGAAATTATTTCAAATATGATAGGCAGTTTTGTAAAATTCGCCAAAAATTGTATAAAAACGTGAGAGTAGTCACTTTAAAGGTATAAATCTGAACTTTATCCATGTAAAACAGTTTTGAAAATTACTTCCATTAAAAGGGTCAAAACAGTCCGAGATTGGACCAAAACTTTTCTGTCAAAGGCTGTTTTGTGAGTTTAGTTTATAGATCTCTAACCACAACACTCATTTTTGCTATATCAAGTGTATAAATCCAGTATATGCTATTTTACATGTAACACTTGAGATAATACATACTTTTCTCATGTTTTATATGAAGATTCTAGTGATACACTTCAAGTTTCTTAACATATTTGTAGATTAGTGAAGAAATCACACATAATCACCAAATGTTTCAAGGAAATCACACATAATCATGCACTTACACGTAGATATACAAAAATCAACTTGTATTCTCCCCCAAAAACAAGTAAAAACCAAAAACAACGGGGTATGAACTCACCTTGGGGTTTGGTTCGATTTTGATGAAGAGATATGAGAAAATGATGTTGTTTTCGGCCTAGCTTACTTCCTTGAAAAGATCTCGAAGATGTGGATTGTTCTAGGAGTGTGCATGGTTATATGGAACTTGTATAGATGGGAGTGAAAGGAAAATTAAATGATTTTTGGTGAGAGAGAATGGCCTTAGGCCGAGATTAAGAAGAGAGGGAAGAGTGTGTGCATGATTATATGGAACTTGTATAGATGTATGTGATGTACTTAGCTTGGTTATCCTTTAGACAAAAGTGATGTGTCACTAGAAGATAATTCCTCATTTTACTCCTTTTTTTGTTTTGTTTAGTTACATGGGCCGAGAATTGGGCCCTAGATGAATGATATTTAATTAGTTTGGC